CAACTTCATTATTGATTTCTCACAGCATTAAATTAAATAATTTTTATTTCAGATCACTAAATGATCAAATAACGAAGACAGAAGATGAGTTGCGAAATAATAGAGCGTCTTTAGCAAAGGTTTTGTAAACCTTTCTGTTTTTACAGGTAGACATGAGCGAAAATACATTAAAGGAGAAAAAAATGCACAGTGAAATAAGCAATTTCAAAGTATACACACATAATTACGATAAAACTTTTCAGATACAAAAAAATCGTCAAAAAATAGAAGGAGACTTGACTTCTGAGATGCAACAAAGAAGCCAAGAATTGCAGTGCTTAAGAGTAGATGAAGTACGACGACGCTCTTTGCAAAAGCGACTGGATGCTGCACGATTTGAAGGCAGTGTTGATGGTCAAGTTATGAATCTGGTTGGTGCATTTATAATGCGGATTTCATCGGAATATTTCATTATAGCGGCAACATAGATTATTTTTGATTTTTAGGTTTCAAGCTTGAATCAGTACAGAAGAGAGAAAGAAAAGCTCATACAATCTGAAAACGTTCTGCAGGAACAACTAACTAGTTCACGCCAATTGTTACATGTTACAGAAATGATAAGAAGAGAAAAAATTAGAGAAATAAAAGAAAACGAAAATGAACTCAAGAAAAGAGAGGTATGTACTCTAGAGATAAGTGGAATTAATGTTTTTAATGAAATCTCGAGTTGTAAATTGTGTTACTGAAGTTTTATATTGTTTATATTACTATTTCGACAATCTCTTTAGAAATTATTAAAGGACTTGCTTTCCACTTCTAGTCAGATTTGGAAGAATGTAGCAGTGAAATCGATAAAATGAACAACTATGAGAATGAATATCGACAGAAGTTGTCAAAGCTGGAAATTCATATAAATGATCTACAGGAGAAAGTAAAAACGCTGAAGTAAGTAAAGTTTCCAGATTAACTGGATGAAATTTTAGTGCAGTAAAAGCAAATCTAATGTTTGTAGCGAGAAACTGGAAAAAATGAAAAATGAAGCTAGAGAATTCGTTACTGATGTGCCTCCAGATTTTACAAGTCTACCAGACACGGCGGAAGCTGAAGAACGATATAGAAAATTGGAACGTCGTATTCAATCTGCACAGGAAAGGTTCAAGTTATTTTTACTTTCGTGTGCTTTTTTTTGAAAATTTTATTATATCTTATGTATTTTAAAGCTTGCAAAATGATTTACTAAATTATTGAAAGAATTTATAAATTCACCCAGAAATGAGGAATTGAAATAAATAGCCCTAACTTTTCAGACATCTAAAAAAATTGTTGATTTATCATTGTTTTTTTCCTCTAGAAATCCTACATATGTTTTTCTGGTTTTTAGCTCTTTGTTTTAAATATGTGTCTTGTCATAATCTTATTTTGAAAAGTTTGTAGCCGATTCCTTCATGAAAAAGATCTCATTCACATGCATTAGTTCTTCCATGCCATTGTTCTTATAATCTATTTGATATATTCTGATCGATATTTTATACTTATGCTTGTATATACCTTTTAGGTTCTTTAAACCAGATTACTCTTTTTATACTTAGATTTCCAAAACGATTTTCTTACTGCTCTTGTCTTGTCCTGATCAAGATAGCCTCAGAATATGAGTAAATAAGAATTAACGGTAGGAGGGAAGGTTGAATTAGGAAGAAACGAATTTATCTGTTGTTATCGCCTTTACATTTCAAATGCTTTGGAATTCTGTAATGAAAAATAAAATAGGAATAACATAAGAGGTAATTGTTATAGTATTAGGAAATTGATGTGAAAAGATTATGATAGCTATGGCATAGCATATTTACAATATAATGTCACATATTTAATATTAGATCATTTTTATGTGGAAGTTTCAGTCGCCCAAGTTTGGAAAAGATTTTAGTTTTGAAGGCATTGCAGTCATAACAATAGGAATGTAAAATGTTTAAGAATCCTTCGTATTATTTGTTACTGTTATTTTTCATTACAGCTTGGAAGGTACTATAGTGTCAGAAGAAGCATTGAATGCTTTGCAGAATGATTATGAACGTTTACAAAAAAAATATAACAGTGCCAAACAAGTCGTTTTGGTATGTGGTAGAATTATTATTTCCTCAATTTTTTATTGAATGTAGGCTTGTTTTATACTATTATAAGTTAACTACAGGAACTGAAGAAGCGACTAAAATTAAGGAATGAAAAATTTCTGGAAGTACGAAATCTAACCGCTGAGCGACTCAGTGAATTGTACGGTGGTCTAATGTCAATAAGGAATTTCAAAGGTTCATTGATTATAAGCCATGAAGAGCGTGCTATTTATATAATGGTCAGTTGCATGTTAATTTTATTATGCTTCAATTTTAAACAGAAGTTTGAGTTATTTATTTTCAATAATATTTCATAATTGCAATGAAAAACAGCTCATTTATTGTTGTTTAGGCGAGCACTCAAAAAAACCAAGAAATTGACCAGGCCGCTATTCTTCAACGTTATCGAGGGAAAGGCAACTTTCAGGATTTGAGAGGTCCTATTTCATCCTCGATCATACTGAGAGCTCATATTCTTAACTTCGAAAATCCATGTTTTATTATATGAAGTTGTAATTAAAAAGAATTGAGCGGTACATTTTCTTCTGAAAATATGAAATTTAATGCAGGTTTATCTGGTGGTGAACGGACTTATACCTCTGCTTGTTTCGTCATGGCTTTGTGGCAGGCTATGGGAACTCCCATTCGGTATGTTTTGTGATTAATAACTAATTTATGGGACAAAATATAACGTGAATGCAAATACTTAAATTAGTCTTATGCTATTGATTAATTTTTTTTCCAAATGTTATTGATTAATTTTTTTTTCCAAATGATTAATTTTTTAGCTGCATGGATGAGTTCGATGTTTTCTTGGACTTGAACAATCGGAAAATTGTGATGGAGCTCTTCGCAGATCTTGCCACTCGTCATTACCCATCCTATCAGTTTATCTTCTTCACTCCTCAAGGAGTTGCCGATTTTGCTTGTCGTGATCGTGTGCAGCTTTTCGAGATGCCGAAAATCAGAAAATGAAAGAAGGAATATGAAAATATTGTTGTAATTATATTTGTACAAGCAAGCTTTGTTTCATAGCATTATTTAATTTCATCATGACTTGTTAATCCTTCGCTCTCTATTATCGCATTTCACTATACATTTCTCTTAGCTGAATTTTTGTTTTTGTGTCGTTTACTAAATAATATTAAATAGTGTAAGAAACTGTTAAACAACAACACATCCTCGCTTTTACCTATCTTTGAGTTTTTGGAGCAATTTTTCTGTGTTATGGTATACTTCATAATATTTTAATGAATTGCACTTGCGCTATGAATTAGGTCACATTTTTGATTTGTGGTTCGAGTTATCTCTACTTTAGAGAGAATCGCTTTTAGTTTTGGTAAAATTTTGCTTGCTTTCTCGTGATTTATTAAAAATGGTGAAAAGATTAAGTATTTGTTGAATGAATTGAAAATATGTTGAAGCTTATATGTGACAACTTTTTAACTGATCACTTCTGTTTATGAATTAATGCTTTCATAAATTATGGAAGTAAAAAGCTGCATATGGAAGTAAAAAGCATATATTATTTTTCTTGAGTGATTTTAACTATCGTCAAATATGATGCACTATCAGTTTTCCTAAACATTATTTTACTGTTCATCAAATTGATTCAAATTGTAGCTGTACTAGAATATATTTATTATTAATCATCTCGAATGTCCTAAAATGTATGGAGTTTTGCTAATTTTTCTGCTTTGGTTACTGTAGGGCTTATGGCTATTTGTAGGATTGTATGGTGAGCTCAGAAGTTGAAGACGAAGTGCGGAATTATAGTGAAGCTATTACCGATAATATCATTTATATTTGTTTATTTCGGTTGCTGTGATCCATTTTGCACAGACCCACAGAAGATGATTTCTCCTCCAATCTCCTTTGAGAGTTCATTAGATTTACATTGATCATGTAATGTATTTCTAGTTCTGTCTTAAGGGATCGTTGAGCTGTGGGAAGTGGAGTTATCACAGTGGTTATAAATGTATTAAGCCGAAGGTCAATATTAAAATGAAGAGCCCAATTTGAATCATTTTCTGTTTAGTATAAGGCGATGCAAACTTGACTCATTCCTACACCTAAGTAAAAGTTAAGATGTTAATCAAAATTGAAATTAAATTGTCATATCAAAAAGGATTTATCGATATGACCTATGGAACATGAGGTCGTATTTCAAGTTATATTTTCAATGATACGGTGCTGAACTATGTGTGTAGAGATTATTTGCTTAGTTGCAATATATCTCACTGAACTGATTTCAATTAATATGTGATGCAGTGTACATAATGTGGAGTATGGCTCTTAAAATACATTTGAAATTTTAATTGAAGTACTTAATTTTGCTGTAAGTTTAAGTTCTTGTTGGACACTGCGATGATTTACTATATCTTTTGCTGCATATTGTATCTTTTGTTCAGAGTCAGCTTCTTTCACTCCAACTCGTTTAATTTATATGTGGACATGAGGCAGTTAATCATTTTGTTGTCTGATGATCTATTTGAGAACGTCAAATTCGGGCATCTTGTTAGAAACAAAAATTTCTTTCATATAATCATATACTCAAAATGATATTGATTCGTAAAACTGACACATTTTTGTTCGTTTGTTTTATTTTTCAAGTATTTCACTGCTTAATACATCTTGCTTGTTCTCGGTTTCTGCTGTTGAATGAATTTAAATTGTTCAGTTACAGAAATGACATAGCTATTCAATTTTTGGTTGATGAAGTGTACAGGAATTTGTTAGAATGATCAATAAAGGTTTGATCATGTACTCTTTCTAGCATTATTTTCGAGACGCTTTTTGGAAAGCTTTGAATTTTCCCTTCTTTTTGCAATAACAGTTGCAGTTAATTTTCAGGCGGTCGGTTGTCCGTGTTGAATTAATTTGTGAATTTAATAGGCTTCGATTACGCGCAGCATGGATGCATCAACTAGAAGTCATATGACCTTGAATACTCTTGAAAAAGGTGAGATCTTAGGTAAAATAACTTAGTGAGCTTAAATTTTGTTCACATAGCATTTGTAAAATAGTCAATGTTTGCTGTAAACATGGAGGTGCTTCAAGATTGTGGTATTCAAATTATAAGATAGTACATCAAACATATTAAATGACAGGAAACTGTGGGCTTACATTACATTTAGCAGTAATGTTACATTTATAATATCTTCTTTAGGAATTTCACCCACATAATATACTTCTGTAGTGCTAATGAAAGATTAGCCTGAGTGAACAGTGAAGAGTTTTAAGAGTCATATTGTGAAAATAAAGTAAAGAAAGATTTTGAATACCTTTGAAAAAGTTGAGATCTGCTGTGAATATAGTATTGACAAATACATTTTGTCCTTCAGGATTGCGCTCACGTGCACTGAATGAGAAGATGGCTACGATTGTCAACATGACTACATTTCTGCGTGAGAATCCGTTCCCTTTCTTCGTCAATGCGGCCGTACTCCGACTTTGTGAAGCATTTCGTGATGAGTGAGTTAATTTTGAAATGGTCAGCATTGGGATGGCTGCCATTTTCATTTTTGATTTCATAAAAAGGACTCTCTTGTTAAAAATTTTTCTAAGGAAGACTTTCCTTTCTTAAAACTTGCAAGGTAACGTTGAATTTCTTCATTAACCAGACATCATTTTAAGTATTATCTATATATAATGCATGCTTTAGGTGCAATGAGCTGCGCTTATGTATTGTACGAGTGATGGGTGAATGTTCTAGTGAATTAAGACTTGTTTTCTCAAATGATGAAGTAGCTCGCCGAGTTCTCAAAGTATCCCATTCAAATGATCCACTTGCTCGTTCACTTACTCTTCAAATACTAGCCAAACTAGCTTCTGTTGTGGCAGAAAATAAGCAGGTAATGACGTAGAAATAAGTGAATATTTTGAAGATAGCAAAAATAAGCTTTCTTATACTTCTTATTTTTAATATTTTTAAGCCATATCGATTGTAATTGTAGGTGCATCATTTGATAGTTACAAGTATCGATTCCGAGGAAGCCCAGGAACGGTTAGCAGCCACTGTAGCGACTGAGGCATTTGTTGGTGTTTCCAGGTTATATTTCGCATCTCGTAATACAACTTTTTTGTTTAAAAAGTGTTTTAGTTTTTGAAAGATATGAAAATTCTGAATGAGGTTTTGAAATGGACTGTTAAAAGTTCGTCTGTTTTGGAAACTATTTTGAAGTTTTTTTCTAACTTCAGATCTTTTTCGCAAACAGTGTTTGAGAAACTATGTGTTACGTTTTTATCTCCTCTTGTTTCACCGATTACAAAGATCGGTTTGGTTGGTGTATTCTCTAATATGCAAGGTGACGTAGAAATCATCATGAAAGTATTTGCACTGGGTGAACGGATACTCAACGAAGCATATAATCAACAGTTGATACTAGCACTTATCAAATCACTTACTACATTAGCCGTCTCGTGTAAATTCGCTGTATCTGAATTGGTAATATAAATAATTTGTTTTCAGTTTAGAAGATTTTGTTTCATTCTGATTTTGTTTTGAAAAGTACATTTCATAAAATTATCTTTTGTTTTATTTTTCTTCATATCTTCAGTTAACTTTACTGATAGAAAAGCTGAAGATATCCAAAGAAAATCGCACTCTTTGTGTTGCCATTCTGTATAATATTAAACGCTTATCATCAGCCGCACATATGCTAACGGAATCTCATATGCATGTTAGTTTTATTAGTTTCTAAGCAGCATATTGTGTCGTTTAGCGATTCAAATGTTAAATATAACTATTCTATTCCTTTTACTGTTCAATCAAGAACACAGTTTTCTAACAAAATGTGACGGTTTTACATTAGGACCTGCTGGGTTTCGGGGATACATTAACGGATGATTTGATGCGCGTTTATTGGCTGATAACTCTTGTTCGTTTCACATCGCAGAATATCCATAAAATTACCGCAACACTTTCAGGTATTTTATTCTGAGTAGTATATTACTTATTAAAAATTCTATTTAGTTCATGTTAATGAAAAAAAAAAAAATGGATTCAATTCCAAGGCGAATGGAGAGCTAACAATAGTGAATAAACAACAGCATTTTGCAGACAACATAGCACATTGGACATATCTTTTATCGAGCAGAAATGCAGATGTTCGACTTGCAGCTCTGCATTTGTATATTAATGTATATAAATATAGTCGAGAAGCGAATATTGTATCAGCTTTGAAAAGCTCTTTTATTATATCACTGCCGACAATAAAACCTCAAGATTCCGAAAAAGTAAGTTCAAATTTTGAATTGAGTGAAGTTATATATATGTGGTCAAAGACTTGGGGAATTTTGTATCATTCAAAGTTTTGTACAGAGGAGTTCGAAAAGCAAATCAATCAGTTATAAATAATTCGTTCTTTGGACATTTTTACTGACTTGGAAAACCAAAATATTATGTTGCTCATCAAATTTTTAACATAATTTTGTAACCATCAATTATATTCAGTTTTATCGTCTGCTGACTGCCTTCATATGTGATGACAGTTGCCCACGTGAAACTGTGGATGCAGTAGTGGACGCTCTGTTAACCGCAGTACTACCGAATTTTTCGGCTCTGCACATGTTACAGTTTTTGGTAGCAGCTGCTGAAACTCATTCTTATCTTTATTCTCGTCTTCGTGTCTGGTCTATATCGAAACTGAATGAAAATACAAATTTAACCAAATTGACCGTAAGTTATAATTGCATTTTGACTCAAGTTATTGTTTTGAATTATTCAAAGTTAATTATAATGTTTTGGAAATTCTTCTGTTTTAAATCATAAGCAGACAGATGATCTTATTGCAGCTGTTTTCGTGCTTAGTTTATGCTCCACTGAGCGACGTGACTGGACTTCCCAAAAATCACTTAGATTTTTGGGGAAGTGATCCATGGGTTCTCTATTTAGTTGCTCGGTCAGCCATGCGCAACGGACATTGGAAGTTGGTTGCTCTTCCTATACTGGAAGTAATCCATAAAAAGGTTAATGCTATACGTTGATTTATCTTACGTAACTATCACTACAATAGCTCAATTCATTTGCTCCAAAGTCTTTTGACTGGATTCTAACACTTCCTTCTTTTTTGCTATCTTGTATAATTTCTGACTTCTTATGGCTTTTTTTTCATGTTATGTTGTGTCAGTTAAGTCCGTTTCTTTCTACTGGTACTATTACTTTAATGTTTCAAATGCAAATTCTGTTTTAGGTGAAATCATTCCAGACAAGAATGTGGCTGACAGCTTTACGAGATATCTGTTGTGCATCACTTTCTGAATTTACGGTTTTTGCTTTGGAAAAATCTATTGAAAATCTCAATGGTGCTCGATTATCACTTTCCGTTCGTTTAGCATCATTTTATTTTTGCCACTTTATAATGAAGTTAAATGAGCCATTTGAATTCACATTTTCAATTATATTTTTACATTTTTCCTGTCGAATGTTCCAGGCTTTATGCTCATCACGAGAATCCCTACGTTATTTCATGTTCCCATTGCGGTTTGTAGACTGCCTGTGTAGCATGTATGCGGCTCTACGCAGCTTTTTGGTTATTGTAAATACGAATTTATTACTTAATGATAAGCCAGCTCTTTTTATCATTAAAAGAGTTTCAATTCGTTTGCAAGCTTGTGCATTAAGTAAGTCATTTGCGATTTTGTCCTCTGTAATGAATTGGATTTTCTAGCTGGGAATATTTGATTGCCTCTTCTTTCATTACTTTCAATTTAATAGAGGCATTCTTTTGGTGAAGACTTATACTTTGAGGAATGCATAAATGTCGAGATATGTGGCTGGACTTGTATAAACATTGCTTTGATGCGGATACTAATACTACAACTTTCGTAGAATTGTATGCTGGTATGTGTGCTTTATTCAGTGCTGCGTTGCAGTTATTCGCAAAACAGCAGCCATTGTCGTTAGTTTTATGATTTACTCTTGTATATTTATTCAGTTGTATGCAAATGTATTTAGCTCATTCCAAATTAATTTACATTCTGTATTGATCGTCCAGAATGTATCCATTGAATCAGTTCTATTTATCTTCACAGCTTTGGTATGTAGACAACACATAAACAGTAATATCTACCCTTCAAATGCAAGAATATTTCATAGTGCGATTAAATTCATTTGTTCTATCCTGCCATTGTTTCTAACTTTCCGAAAAGGATAGTAACATAGAAAGTCTGATTTATGTGGTGATGCCTCCTTAAGAGACTGATCAGTTGTTATGTTATCTATAGTACAATTTTACAATTCCAAAAAACTAGATTTTGTGTTCAGAAAGTTCTCTTTTGGCCAGCAAGATAGTCCAAAACATTCTCCCCAGCTTATTTTTTGTATTTTCAGTCCTTTATCGATATCTTCTTCGTCGCACTATTCGCTGGCGAATAAGCGTTTGCGCACTTCACTCTTATGGGCCAAAGGAGAAATTGAAAAGCTGGACACTATAGCTTTGGAAAAGAGGCTAACAAAAAAAGTACTTTGTCTCTCCACTATTTCCACTAATACATATTTCCTTTAAAGTTCCAATTTCATTCTTTCTAGTTTTGAAGAAAATTATCTGCATTATCGTACGTAGTGTCTGATTAGTTAGTTTTTTTCTGGGTAGTTTTTTTCTTTTCTGTTTCAGAAATTAAAATTTCTTGTGGATACCTTTGGATACTTATGTAATCTTCCGATATGTATTCCTCGATTTTTTTTCCAGCAGCTGAAATATACGCAAATAAAGGTATTTTTTTTAGAACTTTGATAATATCTTCAACAGAAATTTCATCTAAAAGTAGTTTAGAATTTTGCCATATTTTTTGGGCGAAATTTGAAGTTTCTTTCATTTAAGTTAAACGTTTTACCGCAGCCAGGACCAACTGAGACTGCTGTTGGTGTCTCGTCTAACCAGAAGGTGCCAATTTCCATCGAAGGTGCAATCGAGTCGTCGCATGCATTTTCTGTTGACGCTGTCATTGTAAAAGCGGTAGCAAAATTTGCGAAAGGTGCCAGTGTAAGCTATTTCTAAGAAATTTAATTTTTTAAATTATTCCGAAATAAAGCATCACTGAAAGAAAAAAGCTTTTTCGTTCTATGAAAGGTGGAATGGTTTTAAAAAAAAAACTTGATTCTGTAGCAGATTTCATGCTTTTTAATAGAACAAGCTTTTAAAAAAATTTTCTAGAATGATTGTTCACAATTGCAAACTGTGATACCACAGGAAGGGAAATTCTTTAATGCTCAATTTCTTCTTGCATTCCCGCAGGTGACTCACTTCTACCTTTTGGATAGTCATATCTATTTTCAAATGATTTACTCGTTGTAGACTGAGTTATGAAGCGTAAAATATCACCGTTTCACATCCGATAAAGTGAGTGGTATTTTTAGAGTTGTACGATGGAATTTTCCGTAAATTTTCTGGATAAAGAAACGAAACGGCTGTGGGAAAGTGGTGTTACAGCAGAATTGAAAATTCATGTCTCATCGTGAACAGTTGCTTTTCTGCCGTGTTTTTGTAATTATCGGGTTTGGAAGTTCTCAGCTTCTTTGACTATCATTTTATCAATATGTTTTGTTTTTTACTTTGTTTTGCAATCCTGAACGAAAATTGATCAATTATTAATGTAAATGTGCTAAAATACTAATTGTGGATTTGCTAGTTTAAAAAACGTACTAGGAAAGTTAGTTTTCTAAAATGAAAAAATAACAGGTTGATGTTAGCATACTAAACACATTCAAACAAAAGAGATAATTTCAGGTTTATAAATATATTAAAAAAGATAAAAAAGAACACCAGCAACCCGAAACCGAAAATATAAGTTTATATTTAGATATAAACAATTTTTATCTCCTAAAAAAAAAATGGATTTTACTATTAACAAAGAACAAAGAATTGTTATGTAAAACCTTCCTCTAAATGAAGCTTCTATAATTTAACCTCTGGGATTGAGAAGGACGAGTTGATGCCTATAAAACTGATTACCAGCTTCAAATCATGGGGTTTTTCTCCTACATGTTTCTGGAAAACCTTTCGGTTTTCCCTTAAGTAGTTATAATGAAGCTAAATAGGAAAACTAGATATCTTGGAAAAATGTCTTATGTAGAATCTTTTTTGATAAAGGTATCTTAATAGAATGTCGAGAATCAAATATTGAGGAGTGTGGTATTGGTGATTTCGACGGTCATAGACCATCTAGGATAGTGTCAGTAATTTCTACTTCAAAGTTGAAAAAAAGTTCAATATGGTGTAAATGCAACCGGATCACTTCTTCAGTTGTCAGTAAACAGCTAATTTTTGTTAGGGAAAAGAGAAAAAATGATGATAAAATGTAGTGAACAACGACGATCATTATTCTAAAAAATTTCCTATGCGGAAAATATGTCATCTTTATTATGACTTCCACCTCGATTTTACAGATGTGTGAACATTATTCTTACCATTATTAAATCAGAAACAGTTTGGATCACTTGTTTTAATATCTAATGGCAATACCTTCATGCTACTCATCTGGATAGAATGGATGGAGAGGTGAACTGATCCACAGTAGTTCAAATAATATTTGAAAGGCTGTTGCATCAAATCTGCCAGATTTCGTACCCTAATAACCGCAAGCAGTGAACTTTATTAAATGTTTTGCTGCTGGAAATAAGACTGACTGATGCCGACAAAGTAGCTCATCTTCGTAAAAAAAAAAAAAAAAAAAAAACTTTCTTAATGGTCGAAGCATTTGAAAATAAGTTTTCAGACATCAACAAACCAGTGAATGTGCGGTTTCTATTTGCAAATGAATGAAGTATGCAATATTATTGGAGACATGGATAATAGGGCCACGATCGTCCAAGCGTTTGTTTCATTTCATGGTTATACTCCTCCTAAATATATAATGAAGCAGGACATCTGATCTGATACGATTAGTATCAAAACCTACTTGACCCGTTCCTAAATTTCAGTAATCTTTCATTATCACAAACTGTTCGGCTTTCTCTGTACAACCATTAGCAGTACTACATTAGTTCAGAGGCGGTATTGTAGTAATTTTCCGAGAAAATCCAAAATTACTGTCAATTCGGCTGTTGTCTAAGCTTTTAATAAGCAAATTTGTTTGCAAAAATTTCTGTCTTTGCTCACTGATAATCCCAACTGCAAATCTGTCCTTACAATCAGTCAAATTTTGACTTTTGGAGTTGCAAATTTATCAACGAACGACCAAATCCAAGTCCTTGCAATTTCATATCTATATTTATACAGTGTGCATTGTCAGTGGAGCCCGTATATTTGATGCAACTTTCAGTGAAGATTACTTCTATACAGTATTAACTTAGGATGCTGAGAAATCTGTGTCATCTCTATGACCTGCAGATGGACACACACTACTCGTATTTTAGAAACACAACAATTTTTGTACTGTAGAAATAATACCGTCCGGTGAACCATACTCGAACTAGGCATCTGTTTTAGAGTAAGCCAACAAATACTCATCTCTTGTCGACATTACCTCAATAAGAACTTTCAGTCCCTGAAAACATTAACCCCTCCCGCTGCTTCAATTCATCTACAAACATGAGAATAAGTTCATTTATTAACCAAAATGTCCGAAGACTGAAATCTTTGCGTAAGATTAATATAAATTAGAATGAAAATGAAGAAACCAGCGGCAAGCGAAAAATCACCGAATTATATTCCTTCAGCTTCACATCTTGAACATTTAAACAGAGAACAAATGAAAAGTAAAGCAAAATCGGGTGCCAATACTGAGCCAAAACTTGATATGGTCACCGTCGGCTGGAGAAACTGGAACGCACTAAGTTTAAAAAAAGATACCAATTTTAACCTATTGAAAGCAATGCCCTAGTCTCTTAATTGTAAAATGCTTTGGTGATGAAATGCGTTAAACACAGATTAGGTCATCAGTTTTGCAGTTTAAGAGACAGATTCTTTTGCATGTTTCATAATAGAATATTACAACAGGAAAAAAGTACGTTCAACAATCCATTTTTAGATGCATAATAAAATAAACGGAAACTGTACATGGTTAAAGGAGAAACAATGAGATAAAGCGGTGAAAATGCTAATTCAAACGAATGAGTTGCATGTCATAGTAATGCTCCGTATGCGTGACAATTACTTTCTAAACCTATTATTTATACAGTCAAAATTAAACGAAATGAATGCTTTCAGGGAAATGCTTTAAGAAAAACAATACTAAAGAGATCACAAACAGCAAACACAATTATTCTGCAGCCAAAAGCATCACTGTAATACGTTTGCAATCGTATCGCTATCCAAATGAGGAAGCGTATTATCTTCTTCATTGTTCCAATCCCAGTCCTTACTTATCAAATCCATTTCAGCCGGAACTGCATTTGCTGTTATGTCCAATACATTCACATTACTCCTTTCATCCATATGATCCATTAATCCACCCATAAAATCACTAAAAACTTTTGATATACAACATCTGAAAATACAAATGGTATAAATTTCACATGTAAACCTTCGTAACACACATTTAGAATTAACTGCCATTACGACATATATTCTTCCTCAATGTTAACTGCACCTTACTATAATTTATAATCGCCCAATAAAAAGAAAAATGTAAGCAACAAGAACGCTTGTAGATTATAGCTATGGAATAACGGATGTATCGTTCTGAATAAACATACGTGCAGTTGGGATGGTCTTGGTTTTTCGTTTCGCGAACTCGTTCCTGGTACATATCATGACGTTCTGTTTTCTTCCAAATGTAGTAGAAGTGTACTATTTCACCGACAGTCCTATGAGGTAACTGAAAATTCAACTTTGAAATTAAAATACTTATAATCTTGCTGCACGGATCGTACTGAGAAATATCTTCTTTCTTTTCGCTTTTTTGGTAAGACGATGATGATGGTAGTATAAAAATCATTTGATATTTGGACACTTGCAAACGATTAATATGGTGTATAAACGCTATTAAAAAAATATGAAAGAAAATGAGAATAACGGAAACGAATGCACAAACAAGCAATAAAATGAAAAAATGCATAAAACACGAGTTCTGATGAAAAACATATCAAGGACCAACCATACTACAAAATTACTACACTTGTAGCTTGACAATAAAAAAGTCAAACATTATAAAAAAAGTAGCATTCATGCCTCTACCTGTTTTAATGCTGAGTAAAAAACATTAAAAAAAAAAACGGAAGATCTTACCAATCGCTTAATAAGGCAAAAATTTTTTCCATACATCTGCATACCTCTTTCGAAAAGCTCGCAGTCCTAAATGCATATGTATTACAAACTGGTATAATCTGTTTTATATCTCAAATTTCAGGAAAACATGTAAAGAACCTGATCATTCCATTTGGCAGGATTTGGTCCAACACTCTTCAAAGGAGCATTAGCACGTGGAAATGGATAACTGGCCAATGCCATGCTTGTATTGTACTTCGCATTCAGTAGAGCTCTAAATAAATAATAAACTAAAACAGTAAAAAACTAAAAACGCTGTTACTTAAATACACAAATAAATTTACTTCAAAGCGTCTTCATCATCCTTCACAGGAAAACTTCGATTTGAAATTCCAGATTTACGCGTTTCGACCGGCAAAGATGAGTCATTGCTTTGTAGTACCCTGTCGTAATAATTCTTCAAATATTCCTCCACTTTCTTCATTGATACATCACAATGAGGTGACCACAAAAGCATTTCAAGCTCTTCTCCTATATAAGACCAAAAATTTAAATTAGAAACTATGAAAAACAAATTCTTGCTAAAAAAAAAAAAAAACTGAGAAAGCCTTACGTGGACTTCTGGAACCCGTCGACATTGTTTCAGGTACAGAGGCCTGATACATTGCTCCCTGCCTCACAATCCTCCGCCAACGATCAGGTGGCACATAATCAGTATCCTCTTCATTATCATCAACATCTGAGAAATATCCATGCTCTTTTTTTCCTTTTTTGGAAGACGAAACTGGTAATGCAACTATATCTGAAGGGAAAAAGACACAAGACTCCAATTAGAAATCTTTGATTTCTGTAACTTGGGGAATGATGGGCTACATCAACAAACTAACATACATATTATTAGTTTAAAAAAAAAAAAAAAAAACTCTTTAAATCTCAGACCCTCATTTCATTGAAGTTGTACGTAATATTTTAAATGAGAAAGCTAAATTAGTTTCGAACAAGGTAGATTCACAAAAAAACAATTTGCTAGATCCAATATCAGAATTTGCCTCGCAAGTTAGGAAAAAATGCGCATAACGGGAAGAAAATAACTATATTTATAACTAACAGAAAGCAAATGTAACCGTTAGCTTTCATTCTGTTAGATTCGTTCAAAAATTCAAAGATCAAGAAACTGACAGAAGTAGAGAAATGTTACCTGGTTCCGTGAAATCAAGATTCGTAGCTGTATCATCTACACTTTCAGATTTACGGGTATCATCTGATGTTGATGCCGACTGCGTATCATCATACTCTTCATCGGCAACAACGCTGCAGTATTTTTGTCTTAATTCTTCCACTGATAAATTTGCATCATCTTCTAGCATTTTAAGTTCATCTTGATAGTTCTCTTCTGGATGCAACATTTCCTCTTCGTCTAAAGTACCTGTAAATCATGGAAAAAGTTGCACAAGAATTTCCAACATCTCAAAGCATTTTCTTATATGATAAATGAGGAAATGCTTTTTAAGAGTTCAAATTGCCGTCAGAAGCAATGAAATATTATTACCTTCATCATCATATGCTTCTTCGCCCTCTTCATAGTCGTCTTCTGTCCGAGAATCAGAATGCTCCTCGTCAGTCATCTCCCACTGATTGGAATGCACTAGCAACAGTGATAGATAGGTGCAGCGGTGTGAACACCTGAAAAATTAGAATAGTTGTAGAAGTTAGTGTGAGACATCTAAGGAATCACTGCAACTGCATGCAACCGAATCATCTGCATGCTAAAAGGAAGAGTGAACCGAGCTGTACTCACTCACCGCAACGAGCAGCCACAACCACAACACTGAATATTGTACCCCGCGCCCAACATAAGCCGATCCGCAGTACAGGACAGACTTAACAATCGACCACACGCACACCACTACGCAATAAAAGTCGAACTGACCGTAGGTGACGCTGCGAAAATGTATGTCCTGCAGCTGACAGAATCGTTTCGTGCATTGAAATTGCCGGACGGAAGCGAAAACAGGATTCAAGGAAAGTGAGATTTAAACCGGATATGCATGTCACACTTGTCACATCTTTTCTAATCAAATTGTGTGCTATTGCCAGAAACTAATTCCGTTATTAACGGAAACATGAAATATTACCTGGGAATTCTCCCATCTAATACACTTGCTAGAGGCAACATTCAAAACATAAGCTGAATGACTTAACTTAATTGTCCTCTAAAAAAGAGGACACAACATCTTGAATAAGTAAGTACGATGAAAGTCAGTTAGTTATAAGGAAGGAAGCGGACGTACTGGGCTGTAAAGAGAATACTGATTGCTTCATGGATGGCAGATGTACACTGGAAGGACTGGTTGACAGGAATTTTATAAGCATGCCAAAGAAAACTTTAAACTTTTACAGTTTACAGCGATGATTATAGCATCTCTTATGCAATGAATGAACGATTAATTAGGACTAATTAAATCGCGGCACGATTGTTTCAAATTTCGTCAATAAGTATCATTGCTTTCACTTTACAACATTGAATTGTTGAAGAAGCTGCAGTCCATATTATACTGAGCAGTAATGCTATCCTAGGTATCCTTTCTACCCATAGTGTTGCTTATGGAAATCAAATTCTGTGCATGGTACCTTTCTCGATATTCAAGATATGAGTATCTTCCCGAGATTCTCAGTTAACAGTTCAAGAAAGTTGCAAGCTCGATGAGAGTTATTTGTTTAATCTCATGGAAGTGTGAATTTAAAAATAATCTAAATAAACTGAAAACATAACTTGAACGAAACGCAATACAACTAATTAGAAAGCCGAGAATTAATTTTTAATAACATCTTTGTATATTTATTTTACCTAAATTTTTATGTTAATAGCTATCGTTTGATCTGGAAATGCAAGATACTAGAACAACTCATCATAAGCATACCTTTAAGAAATACTGATTGGAATGGCATTTCCACCTGTCCTTTCTTATTTTTCAATCAGTGATTATTTAGTAATGAATACTACCATTGACAAAAACACAAACCGTCCACTTCCCAGTTTCCGATATCTAATGCTGTTTCCCAACCTTGTATTAGCTGTTCTGAGATGTGTCTTCTCGCTTCTAATGCATAAGGACAGTTCTTATTAACTATTAACATGTAACTCTAGATTTAATATTATTATAGTCACAACCTCATTCAGTTCAAAATTTTCCGATCATATGATCTGGGTCAGATCATTATCACTGATGATAAACCATCAATAATTCACGCTGAGTATTGTTGGGCTCATCTTTCTCTATCAATTAAATTCTTTACAGCTTCTGCTTTTTAAAGGTCGTTTTTTTTTTTAAAAAGTGCTTTGAACAATCCTACTCTGTTACACATTTCTTATTTCTTTTCAAATCTTCACGAATGAATTCTATTTGATGGAAAACCGTCAATCCTTGCCCAAAATGACCTTTTCAAGAAAGGCAAAACAATGTGATCCGATTGATTCACATGAAAACATTTCAATGCGTTCTTTGTACAACAGCTGAAATTACAAAGAAGTGAATAGGGAACTACGTTCAAATGTTTCTGTTTCTTGCAACAGATAAGAAAGTCGGAAGTGATTGCTCATACATATGACGTGCTCAGTGTGCTCACATGGGTATTACTTCACGACTTAGGGGCGAAACATAATCTACAAGCGGCACCATCGATCTCATCCATGACCAAACAAAGGCAAATCTTATTTGGCCGATATACAGTAATAATATATAGCAGAGCCATCCTAAAACGCATCTATGCTCAAATTTATCCAAATCATCTAACGACCGATCATCGGAGTTAGAAATATTTACAGCTTTGCAGGGAGCAACGTCAGTATTACTGCAGATTTTTGCAAATCCCAGAAACTATTTGCTTTCTCTTCCTTCCATGTTTCTCTCCCCATCTTCTCTGTACTTACTGTTTATAAGTCAGTATGTCAAATGATTCCTAGTTGTAAGGCTAGTGCTCATTGCTTTCTTGTTTGAGATCAGTTTTTGTTCATTATTACAAACATATATTTATTAATTTTTCTTTTTTTTTCGTTTTCTTCCCACTCTCCTCTCTTTTTGTTCATAGATTTTTTGTTTGTGGAATCTAAATGATGCAAATTTATATTATCTACAGCACTGTCTGATGTCATTATATCACTAGAAAATAAAAGTCCTCAATGAAAGAGCGATCTATCACAGCAAATATCTTAATACTTAAATGCATACAGGACATGAACTATACATGCTTGGCTCTCGTGAATACAACGGGAGTATCACGAATGGAAGACCACTGAGGTACTTTAGAACGCTTCTTTTTTAGTTTGTCACTGGCTGAGTCCAAGGTATATTTCGTTCCGTTGTTAGATACTACCAACTTCGATACGGTCTGACATCCTTGAATGCAAGCATCCGCTACCGCATTAACCCGTTCCTAAAACGTATTTCATTAGAATATTTGTGTCTTTTTCCACATATTTCGGTTGCTCAGCGACGAAATTACTATTTAATCAAGAGTGGTTGTTTTTACGGTTGTTTGTTTTTTGCTAGGGAAAACGTCTACCCCAAAACCTTTCATCCAATTTTTCCACTCATTTTCGCAAATGATCTACAATATTTGATAATGCTCCTGAGGATAATAACAGAAACATATGTTTACTTATTTTGTTCCTCTTAATTTTTCTCTTCATTCCGGGAAATGAACTGGGAAAAAGTTCTCATTTAGAAAACATTTCAATCACTTTCTACTTCATGTTCTTAAATAAAGGCGGAATTTTCTGCCGTACTGTTTTTTTTTCCACCACAAGTTTTTGTTTTTAAGACTTGAGACTTCCATTCCTCTCTACAAGAATACACTGTGTCTAAATAATTCTTGCAAAACAGTGCTCTTGAATCATTTCTGGCCAAAATGAGATGACAGTTACAGAAATTCAGAAATATTTTCTTGATATAAAATCATTAAGTTTATGACATAAAAATGGGGATCTGAGAAAGGAGCACTTCGAAAATGCTGTGCACACCAATAATAATGCACATGTACGATAATGCACACCAATACGACCAAACACTAGGTGAAGAAAGAGGCAAACTGAATTCTTAAGTTTATTTTGTATTTCAGTACACTGAGGCTTATGCTTCGAAGCATTAGAAAGCTTGCTCTTCACATCAACCAAACACATTCTTTCTAACTGTTTTAATATACTCACGTTAACATGATGAAAGAAACCAAACATACGAAGTTTTTTTTTTTTTGATTATATTTATAGTGAGAAAAAGATAAGTAACAAACCGATATCAAGTTCAGCGTATCATTTTCTAAGTGATCGCTAAGCTTTTCCTGAAAAGATCTCACGAAAAAATCTTTGGAATAAATATATTTCCAGAATTTGTCCAACACTTTCAGTCAGTATGATACGAAGCTTGAATATTATGGAAATTAAGTAGGATCCTACCTGTATTTTGTCAGCGATACCATTAATTTGTGACTCGATGTGCTCTAGTCGAGTATATAGCAATGAAGATGCATTCCAGGTAGGTGTGCCTGGAGATGAGGTCATCATACGTAGCATATCTATATCTAATTTAATCTTGTTTACTTCGTACTTAATTATTTCCAATTCTCGAGTCATAATATCGTACCTTGGCTCATCTATAATGAAGGCTATTTTGAATAAAAGTTATAACTAGTAGAGAGTTGTCCATGGATTACTCATTTCCTTTAAACTAATAAAGTGAAGTGATCAAGATCGGAAAAACGAATAAAACTGGAAATTATAGTAAATTTAAGGAAATTACTGCGTAATTGTTCCAGCTGTGACGAAAAGTATGAGGTGAAGAAGCCTAGAAAGGCAATAGCGATAACAACAGCGGAGAATAGCAATATCAGAGCAATTTGCACGCTACAACTTTGCTGTCTTACAATTACTGTCTCTGCATTTTGCCGTGCTCTGCAAACGCGTTGTCAGAAGTTAGTTCAACACAAGTGTCTTAGCCTTGCAAAGAAATCTTTCAAATTCCCTGGCGATCTTTTCCCGTAAGTTTCCTTATGCTGTTCGTTATTCACAATACAAAAAGCCCAGTCCAATTTTGTCAGAAATTTCTAATTTCCTAATTTCTTCAAAGGCAGTGGAAGTAATCTTTCTTCGTAATAATGTTCGAACAATCCAATTCGCAAGGAACTTTAAAACCAAGAAAATTGAAGGAAGAAATGATTTGAAAAAGAAAAAAAAACTAGCCTCGAGAACAACCTCGACCTTTCTTTACGAACATTTGCAGTAGGCAAATCAAGATCAGGTATGTCGGAGTCATCAGAGTTAAGCAATAAAACATCTTTTTGTCCCATTCTCGATGTTCTACTACCGCTTCTTTGTACAAATATATTGACTAATACATCATTCTTCCAACCTAGCAGAAGATTAAGCCTCCAAAGAAAACCTCAATAGAAATGCAAATCTGATAAAGTCACCTGACATCGAAAAAATGAAGATAATTTATTCATAGTAACTATTTCAATAAAGAAATATTTCGAAAAATAATGGATACAGCTGTGAGTTTGCTCGTATTTAGACTTTTTGTCGAAGTTGTCACAACCTTGGGAAAGGCGTTCTTAAAATTATTTCTCAGAAGGTATCACGAACTACAAGCTTACTTCAATTATGCAAGTCTTTTAAACAAAATGTTAAAATGTTCGTTTTTAAATAACAGCACACGAGCAAACAATCTTAACACAATCAGTTCTGTAATATAAGGTGAAATTTATCTCGATTTGATATAAGTTAGGATTGAAATCCACTAACTTATATATGAAGAATTTCGCAACGCTGAATATATTTCACTGTATTAACAATAATATTGAATTGGTCGTATGAAGGAGACAGGGGAAAGAACTTCTCAAAATCACATTCAAAAGAAAGCACGAAAGAAATTACGCAAAAAGAAATCCAAAAAAGCGAAGTTATCAGAACCAAGTAAATGATTAATTAATCAACTGGCTAAATGTCAACTCTTCTATTATTTTCATTTATTCATATCATATAGAACAATGACCTTTCAGGAAAATTAAAAAAGTGCATGGAAGGTTATGGGAAATATATATGACCCCCATCGTACGAAATAAATAGCAGTAAAAGTTGATAAATTAATCCTAACAAGATCAAAAAACGTGGAAAAAAAAAATGAAATGGCGACATGGACAAAAATGTCATCAAAGAGAAATTGGGCGTAGCACAATTGACACATAGAAAGCAGACTCATCCTCCCTGAAGCATTTGACTTCTTATAAAGGATGTTAACTATTCAGTAAATAGTTTATTAATTTCCTCAAATCTCAAACTAATCACTACATCTCCTTCTAAGAAAAAAATGCTACAGCTTGCACAGCGTCAATTAATCCCTTATTAAGTAATCAATTAATCTCTAAAGTATTAGCTCCAAAAGACCTACTGCAGCATCGTATAGAAATGAAGCTATAATGTTCAGCTTTATTGCTGACATCATTAACGAAATCATTATTAAATGCCGAAACTTCAGACCCCATGCTAATTCCCTAAATTTCTTATACAAAAAGTGAAGTTTGAATATCTGCGTAATCAAGCTAAAGTGATTTTGACGTTGTCCTAAAATACAATTATAAAGAAATGATTTTCGAATAAAATGAGTTACCTCATGAAAGTAGTTATCTATCATTACTTTCCAAAAAATATTGCAGCGCTTTTTAAACTAATCGGTTCGAATGCTTTATTCCTCAAATATATCGACAGCACAAATCTTTTGAAACTGGTTATAAATGTACCTCTAAATCACAAAAACGATCTAATATTAACAACAATAAATGTAAATTTTTGGAAAAAATTGTGATTCGCAAAGAATACATTATACCATGCTCTTTTATTTTTTTGCTTTTAGGCTATATCAGAAGCTTGAATTCGGTTAGAAAAGTTCCGCTGAAGGAAAAGAGGGTAGAGTGGAGCCTAGACTTCATCTATCCAGCGAAAAGTACCTGTGCAAATGCAAATCTGAAATCGCTGGCAAAATTTTCGGCCAGAGCTACAACACAACTTTGAAAATACCTTTTGCTTCTTCATCAATTTTCTCCTGGAAGATTTTGAAAAATCTTTCAGGAGAAAACAAGTTGCTAGGAAAGAATCTGTAAGGAAAAGAAGTGAAAAGAAGGGCACAGCAGGCGAGGAACCACAATAAACTGAACTGGCCAAACAGAGGACAGCAATAATAGCACATAATAATAAAATAACATGAAACAAAAATAACATTCAAGTATTAAATTATGCCTAGTGAATAAATCAAGTAATTTCTCTGAAATCGATCATGTCACCGACACCCACAATTCGTGTTATCGCAGAGTGTGGTAGTCCACATCCGCCATGTGATCCTTGTGCAGCCTTTAATCTTATCAATATTAATGACAAATGTACTGAAAAATAAATTAGGCCCTCTTGGCATCCTGGATTCGTGCAAATCCATCATTCCCGGGACTATCCGCCAGTCAATACTAACGAGACAAAGCAAGTGAAAATGAAACATTGCAATATATTGCCTTTAAGACTGCTAAAGAATATAGTCATCAAAGTGCTGTACCTAAATTAAGATCCAAAAATTAACAAAATGAATCTATTTCAAAAAGTTTTTTCTAGACCTGCGGTAAATCAAACGCATAACGAACTATAATAATTGCACTATAAATACACAACTAACCACTAAACATTTTCAATAAATAACTAGGAAAATAAGAGAACATCCTTCAACCTTATTTTAGTTTCTTACCTTTCTAAAACGCTTACAGTTGAGTCCTTGCCAATGACTGGTTAAGTAAGACTGCGATCTATCTTTCGCTAGAATCGGTCTATCCAGATTCTCATACTGCACTGCTTTCTTCTGCAAATGAAAAATACACTGCTTGAAATGTTGCTTATCAGCTAATACAATGAACAACGAATGAAAGAAGCTACAGTAGCTTCTCCTAAAAAGAAAGGACAATTTCGATTACAAAAACAGCTGACTGACCAATTTCATATGTAATACGTCAATATTCATTTCGAAGATTTGGTCATTCCCACCAACATTTTCATCACAATGTATTCTAGTTCCGAATGTACTTTCATTTTTTTCCAGTTTCTGCAAAAGATCAGTTGAAACAGACCTTATTTTTAACATAAAAATAAATAAAAGTTTGAAACTTGGAATGAATATTGAAGTATTATAGTATTAACTTCTCTTTTGTTATCATCCTCTATTACTTCCAGCTTAATTCGTTTAGTAGCTACCAGCACTTCATCCGTACTGCTTTCATTTTCTATAAATCATCACTTACGTATTGATATTTTTCGTTCTTCAGACTTCAGTAAAAATTCTGATTCAAAAAAATAACATGAACAAATTAGAACTCATTCCTAGTAATTACAGCAAAATCAAATCATGACTGCATTGTAATATCATTGTTTAGAACATTTTTTAAAATAAATGACAAGGAAATATTTCTTAAGAACGAATAAAGCAATAAAACATACTTTTTTCAGAAAAGTTATTGAACTGGCAGCTTCGCTTTCTCACAGTATTCATACCAAGCCAGGAAGCTAACTCAGTAGCAAAAGTCTCCCCTTTATTAACCTGAAACACAGAAATATACAAATAAACTTATTCGAAGAAACAACGGCTAAAGAATTCATTACTTGATATTACAGACATTACCTTTAGAGGTGATGGGTCTTTCTCCTTCAGTACCGTTTTAGATAGATCATAAAATTTCTCGTTTACGTTATGAGATTCCAAAAGGTTGAGCTGTCCATTATGAGAAATCGGAATATAGTTCTTTCTAATATTTGACAATTCATTTACACTTTTTGAATGTTTCTCTGGGAAAGATGTTAGCTGAACACTGAAATGAGTATCAAAACTTTGCTTTTCGAACAATAAAGTAAGAAGGAATAGAAAGAAGCTTTTTATTTCAAAATGTAGCTGTTTAGTAATACTGCAACTCTTCTACTTTAATGTAGTCATCTTATTATCATTAATGACCTTATCATTTTTGGATGAAATTAAATCTGATGCGTAGAATCATCGTAATGCGAAATCACGCATCTGACAACAGCCGAATAATCCGGGCGACGCAAAAAAAAAAAAAAAAAAAAAAAACTTGCTGAATAAGAATTTGGACAACTCTTCTGTCTCAATATCATCCAGATTTCATTCCCTTTAGTTATAGTAAGTATAGAACCATTAGCCAAACTTTCAGGCATAATTTTCATTCATGCAAAATCTTTAAACAATTTGCCAGCTTCTTTTGAAGTATTATTGTATTGTCCTAAAAACTTAAGATTCCATAGTACCAATTTGACAGAAATTTTCTTGAAATGAATACTCACTTTTTCGAGAAGACTGGAATGTCTGCAATTGGGAAATATATGTCCTGAACAACATCACGAATATTTTTGTTACCTAGAATTAGAGGGATTGTATGTGATTAATAAAAATTAGAGACTGCCACTTATGATTTTAAATTTAATATTACTTGAATCATAATGCAATGAGACATTTTTAGTTGAGTCCACATTTCGAGAGGAATCAGCTACGGTGAGCATGGAAACTTCTGATCTGTTCCACTCACTTTCTCTAAATTATTTTTTTATTTATTGAAGAAAATCTGATATGTATACGCACGCTTCTTCAAAAAACAGATGACTTTAACTAGATCAACGATGTCAATGATCATTCACTGCTAAATAATGCATTTTAAGATGTCAAACCATAGTCCAAATTTTGTACATTGGGAACAGGTCCTGGTGTCTGGAAACTTTTTATACTGAAAATGAAAAAGGAGTGTTTGGCAAGGAAATGACTTATGAACAAGTACCATCTTGCACAAAATGATGTAAATTTCAATGCGTTCTTTGTATAGCAACTGAAATTACAAAGTGAACATACTGGAACAGAGAACTACCTTCAAATGTTTCTGTTCCTTGCAGCAGGTAAGAAAGTCGAAGTCAAAAATAAGCACTTACTCATTATCATCGTCATCTGAAGGTAGAAAATCAGCAATTCTTCGATAATAAGCAAGTTTTATACTGAAACATGGTGTTGGGAGAATGTCACGTAGTTCAAAAATGCAGAAAAAAGCAAAGGAAATATGAAGACAAATTTACAAGTTTTTTTATTTTCTTTTTTCACCACTCACCTCCCGGCAACTAAAAAAAACTTATATGATTAAGAATAAAAATAACAAAGTGAAGCAACACAGACCTATCCATTTCCTCCTTCGCTTCTTTTCCCAGTTTTGAAATTAGCTTTCTATCCTTCAAGAATACTATTGATAATATCCAAGCAAATTAC